GGAAGTGCCCTCTCAGATATGAGGAAGGGTTGATCATTTTTGCAGGTCTGCCTGTCCGTTGAGGATGGAGGTCGACATATATAGGAGTTTCCCTAACAAGAAGGAGTAATACTATTCTTTTACCCTGCTTGGTCATAGCACGGTAGTGGGAGCTGCCAGCTTCACGTGTTTTAACTCTGTCAGAGCACTTTGAAAAAGTGGTCTGTGATATCTGGAAAGCTGACGTTACGTGTGAAGATTACAGACAAGCTTTATCCAACGAGATATGGCTCTCGAAGTTGAGAAAGCGGTGTGAGGATTACAGACAAGCTTTATCTAAAGGGCTCTCGAAGTTGAGAAAGCGGTGCCTCTTCGATTTTCGAACAAGCAATCCTGTCGGGGATCTGTCTATCGAGATTCGGAGAACGGTGCCTCATCGATTTTTGAGAAAGCAATCCTGCTAGGAGTCTGGCTCTAGAGATTCGGAGAGCGGTGTCTCGTTGCTTTTTGAGAAAGTAATCATGTTGGGAATCTGGCTCTCGAGATTCGGAGGACGGTGCCTCTTCGATCTTGAAGCAAGCAATCTTGTTGGGAGTGTTTTCTCGAATGTGAGTAAAGGTTAGGCCTGTTTGCTAGTCTACCTTGCCACGGAGCACAGAGGTTGACCCACAGGGACTTTCCAATTATCCAGCAGTGGTCCTGTTCCTTTACCCTTGTGGGTAATAATATGGTAGCTAGACCTTCAAAATTTATGTGTCTAAACTTTGTTAGTGCTGTTTCTTTGCTATTCTTTTACCCTTCTTGGTCATAGCGATGTAATGGGAGCTGTAAGCTTCACGTGTCTAAACTTTGTCAGAGATTTTTGGCAAAGTTATTTGTGGTACCCGTGAGCTGATGTTGCGTGTGGAAAGTGAATGATTGAACAGTAACATTCACGTGCTTTCTACTTCACTAGAAATCTTCGACAGAATGCCCGTAATTTCCGCAAAGTTGAGTGTGCATGTGACAGGTGCTGACAAGGCTGAAAAAGCAGGTGCCTCTTCGATTTCTGAGATCGGCCCTCGTGATCTCTAAGCAGCCCAGCTTTTGAGAAAGCAAGCGCCTCTTCGATTTCTGCGATCAACCTTCATGGTCTTTGAGCAGCCCAGCTTTTGAGAAAGCAAACGCCTCTTCGATTCCTGATATCGGCCCTCGTGGTCTCTGAGCAGCCCAGCTTTTAAGAAAGCAAACGCCTTTTCAATTTCTGAGCAGGCGCCTCTTCGATTTCTGAAGCTCCATCGAGTGCAGATTTTTATAGAGGCTGGTATTAAGTTCCAAAGCACACTTGAATCTCCACCAGTAGAAGCTCCCTTCTTGCATTTCTAAGATCTTGATTTGTCCGACCTCTTTTCTCTTCAACACCTTTGAAAATGTCTGGCCCCTCCGACCATCGTTTTGACTTGAACCTTGTTGAAGAGGCAGCCACGCCTTCTCCAGACAACATATGGCGCCCATCCTTCTTATCCCCTACTGGTCCTCTTACCGTTGGGGATTCCGTGATGAAGAATGATATGACCGCTGCGGTGGTGGCCAGGAACCTTCTCACTCCCAAAGATAACAGACTACTTTCCAAACGGTCTGATAAGTTGGCTGTTAAGGATTCTCTGACTCTCAATGTTCAGTGTGCAGGTTCTATGTCTAATATGGCCCAACGCCTATTTGCTCGAACCCGCCAAGTTGAATCATTGGCGGCTGAAGTGATGAGTCTCAAACAGGAGATTAGAGGGCTCAAGCATGAGAATAAACAGTTGCACCGGCTCGCACATGACTATGCTACAAACATGAAGATGAAGCTTGACCAGATGAAGGAATCTGATGGTCAGATTTTACATGATCATCAGAGGTTTGTGGGTTTGTTCCAAAGGCATTTATTGCCTTCGTCTTCTAGGGCTGTACCGCGTAATGAAGCTCCAAATGATCAACCTCCGATGCCTCCTCCTTCTAGGGTGTTGTCCAGTACTAAGGCTCCGAATGATCCCCATCCGGTGCCTTCTCTTCTGGGGCTCTGCCGACTGCTGAGACTTCTCTTAAGCAACCTTTGTGAAGGCTCCCTCTTGTTTGTTTATTTTGGCTCGTGTATATGTACATATTTGTAACTTCTTAGAGATATCAATAAATAAGCTTTGTTTCATTTCAACGTATTGTGTTAAATACACCAAAGCCTTCTTCACTAAGTTCTTTGAATTTTTCTTTTGTTGAAGCTTGTATGTTGAAGCTTTGTGAGTGGAGCATGTAGGTTGAGGTAGTGTTCCCTTAATTTCCCGAGTGGGGAAAACTTCTCGATTGGAGACTTGAAAAATCCAAGTCACTGAGTCGGTCGGCTATATGAATCTTAGAACGCCATTGTGCTCGATCCTGTGTCATGTCCTCCGTTAGATCCAAGTACTCTAAGTCTTTTCTTAGAGTCTCTTCCAAAGTTTTCCTAGGTCTTCCTCTACCCCTTCGGCCCTGAACCTCTGTCCCGTAGTCGCATCTTCTAACCGGAGCGTCAGTAGGCCTTCTTTGCACATGTCCAAACCACCGTAACCGATTTTCTCTCAGTTTTCCTTCAATTTCGGCTACTCCTACTTTACCTCGGATATCCTCATTCCTAATCTTATCCTTTCTCGTGTGCCCACACATCCAAAGAAGCATCCTCATCTCCCCTACACCCATTTTGTGTACGTGTTGATGCTTCACCGCCCAACATTCTGTGCCATACAGCATCGCCGGCTTTATTGCCGTCCTATAAAATTTTCCCTTAAGCTTCAGTGGCATACGACGATCACACAACACGCCGGATGCACTCTTCCACTTCATCCATCCAGCTTGTATTCTATGGTTGAGATCTCCATCTAATTCTCCGTTCTTTTGCAAGATAGATCCTAGGTAGCGAAAACGGTCGCTCTTTGGTATTTCCTGATCTCCGATCCTCACCTCTAACTCATTTTAGCCTCCATTTGCACTGAACTTGCACTCCATATATTCTGTCTTTGATCAGCTTAGGCGAAGACCTTTAGATTCCAACACTTCTCGCCAAAGGTTAAGCTTCGCATTTACCCCTTCCTGAGTTTCATCTATCAACACTATATCGTCTGCGAAAAGCATACACCAAGGAATATCATCTTGAATATATCCTGTTAACTCATCCATTACCAACGCAAAAAGGTAAGGACTTAAGGATGAGCCTTGATGTAATCCTACAGTTATGGGGAAGCTTTCGGTTTGTCCTTCATGAGATCTTACGGCAGTCTTTGCTCCTTCATACATATCCTTTATAGCTTGGATATATGCTACTCGTACTCCTTTCTTCTCTAAAATCCTCCAAAGAATGTCTCTTGGGACCCTATCATACGCTTTTTCCAAATCTATAAAGACCATGTGTAAATCCTTTTTCCCATCTCTATATCTTTCCATCAATCTTCGTAAGAGATAGATTGCCTACATGGTTGAGCGCCCTGGCATGAACCCGAATTGGTTGTCCGAAACCCGTGTCTCTTGCCTCAATCTATGCTCAATGACTCTCTCCCAGAGCTTCATTGTATGACTCATTAGCTTAATACCCCTATAGTTCATGCAATTTTGTACGTCACCCTTATTCTTGTAAATAGGCACCAAGGTGCTCTTTCGCCACTCGTTTGGCATCTTCTTCGTTTTCAAAATCCTATTGAAAAGGTCAGTGAGCCATGCTATACCTGTCTCTCCCAAGGCTTTCCACACTTCAATCGGTATATCGTCTGGGCCCACTGCTTTTCTATGCTTCATCTTCTTCAAAGCTACAACCACTTCTTCCTTCCTGATTCGACGATAAAAGGAGTAGTTTCTACACTCTTCTGAGTTACTCAACTCCCCTAAAGGAGTACTCCTTTCATGTCCTTCATTGAAAAGATTATGAAAATAACCTCTCCATCTGTCTTTGACCGCGTTCTCTGTAGCAAGAACCTTTCCATCCTCATCCTTGATGCACCTCACTTGGTTTAGGTCCCTTGTCTTCTTTTCCCTTGCTCTAGCTAGTTTATAGATATCCAACTCTCTTTCTTTGGTATCTAGTCGCTTATACATATCGTCATAAGCCGCTAACTTAGCTTCTCTCACAGCTTTCTTCGCCTCTTGCTTCGCTCTTCTATACATTTCACCATTTTCATCGGTCCTATCCTTGTATAAGGTTTTACAACATTCCTTCTTAGCCTTCACCTTTGTTTGTACCTCCTCATTCCACCTAGTTTTGATACGATATGCTTATATTGTCATACTGAATTATTGCAACACATTCAATAAAGAGAACGTTTATAAATTGCCATATATACATATGTTCATAAAACATGCAAATTAGAGATGCTTGACTGCATATTTAATCATTCATTTAAGAAATGAGGGACCAACAAATCTCCCCAACTTTGACCAGTTTCGTACAATTGTGACATAAAAGAGATTAGTACGAGATATCATACCAACTATGTTCAGAAAGTGCAGAGTTTAATTCAAAGTGGAGAGAAATTAATTGCCTCCGGAAATGTTGAGAAAAAAATGTAATCAAGAACAAGTTGTGTTTCAAGATTGAACTAAGCAAGAGTGCTATGAAGAAGTTGCAGAGAGAAAGCTGCCTTCGTTACTAGCTAGGAAGCAAGAGAAGAGAGAGCAGTTTCATGCAGAGACTAAATGATCAGGCTTCTGTGCCAAGAAACTTTCAACCATTAATCGAACTAAAGAAAAGGGAATCACATCAACATAATATCCAAGACATGGCCGGCAAGCCATTTTTTTGTTCTTCTTCTTCTTCTATTTTTCCGTTGTTTAGATCTTTCATTATTTGTTATAATTAAAGGGCAAAGTCCGGGATGAGAAATAAAAAATAGTAATATGATTGTCACAAACCTTGTGTGTTGTCTAGTGGAGAACAATTTTAAAAGGATGCAAGCCCCAATCGGAAGGGGAATCTTGGATATGTGGACCCGTGTGAATGTCAACTTTGCGTCACTATTAGTTTAGATGAAAGTTTGCAATTTTAAATTTTAAATCTACTTCTAATTAGCAATAATCTGACAATCTGTTTGAATTTCTTTAATCATGTCATCCATTTGCGATATAGTAGTTGCAACTTGTAATAAGATGATGGCTGCAATAATAGTGATTTAAACTTAAACATAATTAGATACTATAGAGGACTGGGGAGAACTGCGTACCTTCAATGGTATTATAATCAAAATTCGATTTTTTTTTATTAACTTTTGTACACGGGAGGGAGAAGGGCTCGACTGCGCTAGAAAATCCATAGGCTTAAGAAACCCGAAACCGTCTTCAGCCCACAAGGCTTACAACAACACGAAGGACAGAACCCAAACAAGAAGAGAGGCCCAAACCAAGAACAATATCCACCACCACATTTTGGTCTCTTTGAACATGCTTGATCTTGCACCTCTATTTGTTCTTTTGTTGCCAATTCTCTGGTGAAGGAATTCATCTTCTTGTTCGTCGCATGAGCTGAAAACTTTGCTTACACTTGCCGCAGACTTGTCAGGAAGACTCTTAGTTCCATTATCTTCTTCCACAAACATGACTGCTCTTGCGCCTCCAGTTCTCCTTTTCTTTCTAATTCTCTGATTGAATATTTCATCTTCTTGTTCCTTGTACGAGCTAAAAATGTCACTAGCTGCAGATTCATCACCAAGTTTCTCAGTTTTAGCATCTTCTTCTACTTTTGTTTCACCTCCCAACATGACATCAAAATTCTCGGAATCTTGGGCATACAGCAGGCGGATCCCACACTTTTTCACCTTCACCTCGGGTCTGTCGAGATGATCAACCACATAGAAGTCCAGAGAGGGCTCAGTGACAACATTCGGAAAAGGACTGGAGGATTTTTCTCCCTCTAGAAGATCAAAGTCACCATACCACACAAACACTTGGTCAGCATTGAAATTGTAGTCATCCTGTTCTCCAAGATTATAGATGGTCTCATCCGTGGTCCAACCATTGAATTCACGATCAGATTCATGGCTTCCACCATAACGGTTTTTGAAATTAGATTTACATCCAAAATTCAAACCCCGTATAACATTATAGTTATCAAATGAAACAACAACAGATAGAGCGAAACCCAAGAAATCTGTGTTAAACCAATCTGGAGGAAGCTTGATTTTTATTGAAGATCCCTCATTTTGATGGCTGAACCAATTTGGAATTTCACTCCCTGGACATACAAAGGGAGTCGAATATCTTGCATGATAAAAGTCCTGTGCCATGGATGAACATCATGATTATTGAATCAAACAATAGCAGCTCCTCCAACCTTAATTTGTTAGAAATCATACCAACATATTCTAGTAAACAACAAGGGGGGGGGGAGAGAGAGAGAGAGAGAGATAGAGAGAGAGTCCATACATATGTTACTTCATCTTGAACTCTAAGGATTGATAATGCTATTGCCATTCGCACAATTCTAATCAGCACATCAGACATTATGTTGCTCCATGCATTCTCATCCAACTTTACACAATTCGAAAATTTAAGTTCCTCTGGAAGCCCTCGGATAACTTCATAATCATCCCAACCTTGTGCGAGTGCAGTCCTTGAACTTGACACTGTCTTCAGAGATGTGCAGCCATGTGCTTCGAGAGAATGTAGCAATGGGAGCTCTGGTAAAGTTTGAAGGCTTTTGCAATTGGTTAAGCGCAGCCACCGCATCTGAAATGCTCGTTTGATGCTTGTAGGTAGGCTTTTAATCAAGGTTCCACTTAGATCTAAATCTTGTAATGAGGTTATGCAAGTGAGGTGATCAGGGATCTCCAGTATGCTGCAGTAACTAAGGTTTAGTCTTTCCAACGAGCACAACCCGACCGAGAAGGGAGGCAATTCTTTAAGTTTTAAACAGCCATCAAAGCTAAGAGTTTTAAGACAGTTCAAATTGTAGATGCTATTAGGGACAAACTCGAGGTTCTTGCAGAGATATAGCTCTAATGTTTGAAGCCCAGATAGCTTTCCAATTGACGACGGTAGCTCTCTAACCACTGTTCTTTCTAAACCAATCAATTCCAGATGGTTTGTAGGCTCCAAGATTTCTGGGAAATATTCAAATTCAGAGCAACCAGTAAGATCAAGTCTGTGAAGTGATTTCAACTTACAAATGCTCGTTGGGAGACTCACAAGCCTTTTGCAGTCATTCAATTTGATTGAAGTGAGACCCGAGAGGCACTCGATTGATGAGGGCAGCTCTTTAACTGCTGTTCTTTCTAAACTAAGAAATTCTAGATGATCCATAGGCTCCGAGATTTCTGGAAAGCATTCAAATTCAGAGCAACCAGTGAGATCAAGTCTCTCAAGAGATTTCAACTTACAAATGCTTGACGGGAGTTTCGCAAACTTTTTGCAATTTTCCAGTTGAATTTCAATGAGGTCAGAAAGACACTCGATTGATGACGGCAGTTCAACTATTGCTGTCCCAGTCAACTCTAACAGTTTTATAGCCTTGGGAAGCTCTGAAAACATGCCAAGAGATGAGCAGTCTCTTACACTAAAAGTACCTGAGATCTTCAGCTTACAATTGCAACTTGGAAGATTCTTAAGGTTCTTACAAGATCGAATATCCAAGTGCAAAATCTTTTCATGAGACCAAACTGATGACGGCAATTCATTTATTGCAGTCATAGATAAATTTAAGGATTCAATATTGCCTGGCATCTCCGAAAGATATTTGAGATTTGAGCACCCTTCCAGCTGAAGATGCTTAAGCTTTTCAAGATACTGAAAGTACAAAGGAATCCGAACCAAACTTGTACAGCCACCAAGATTTATATGCTCAATTTTTTGACTTCGAGATAGATCTGGAACTTCAATTAGATGTTTGGAGAAACATAGATCAATCTCTTTTAAGTTCCCAAAAATCTGTAACAAATGAACGAGAAATGACAAAGAGTTTATAAGTAAGCCTTGAATAGCTCCACCCCCATTTTATACAAGAACTAAAATAAGAATAAATACCTGGCTTTCATCCCAAAGTTTCTCAACTTGGCTGTAGGGCATTCGGAGTTCAATAACATTTCCTGGATAAAATTTTGATGGTAAGGCTTTCAAAGGGTATTCCTCCCAGTAAATATAACTAAGTGCTTCGGGAAGAGACTGAAGACCATCAGAAAGGTATAATTTGTTGTACTTCTTGTCAAAGCTTTTGTTTTCAATCCTTAGCACTTTGAGATTGTACATCTTTTCGAAGGCTGCAGGACTCACTTGTATCCCTCTAATCTGAGAGAGGTTAAAGAATATGCATTCAACGGTTGCAGTTCCCTACAATCAAAAAACACATTATAAATAAGGATAAGATTGCAGCAATTTGTACTGAAATGAGTGTTTCACTGGTGTCTTGTCATACAAAGTTGAAGGCATTTTTCTCTTACCGTATTGTTCTTCAATACACGACAGACATCGTCAGCAATGAACAACCTATTGCGTTTTCCGGGCTCTTCAATACATTGTTCAGAAACAATTTCCCGACCCATTTCTTGTAACAAATCATGCATCTCTAGGCAGTTCCTTGTTGAAATTGATAGGAGAGACTTATCAATGAGAACTTTAATCCCTCCTACAAAGAAACCGCGAATAGCTAACATTTCTTTTGTAAAACCTATATCCATCCCTTTGTAAAAACATGCTATATCAAGAAATACCTCCTTTGCATTTTTTTCTAATCCATCATAACTTAATCTCAACACATTCTGAATTTTTCGGTTGGGAAACCTTTTCAACTCGTTCAATTGATCTTCCCAATCTTCTTTGCTCTCACAGTGAAGGAACAAGGAACCCAAAATTATAAGAGCTAATGGAATGCCTCCAGCATATTCTACCACCACTTCCGACAACTCTGTATAATATGGAACCATAGATTTATTTTTGAAAGCATGCAAATGAAAGAGCTGAAGAGCTTCATCACAGTTTAATCCCTCAACCTTGTAGATCTTATCAGCATCAACGATTACCTTAAGAAGGCGCCTATCTCTAGTAGTTATAATGATTCGACTTCCGCGACCAAACCGAATATTATCACCAACTAGAAGTTCCAATTGCTTTGAATCATTCACATCATCAAGAACAATGAGTGCCTTTGTACGGCTGAGCCTTTCTGGAACAAAACATAGTCCTATAGATGGAGTGTCAATATTTAGATCTTTTTCGTTTAGTATCTCACGAAGAAGTACATTCCGCAAGTGCTTTAGTCCATGTCTTTCTGACTCCTCCCTCACATTTGGAAGAAAACATGAAGCCTCAAATTTAGAAGTGAGTCGGTGAAAAACAGCTTCAGCAAGGGTGGTCTTGCCAATACCACCCATGCCCCAAATACCTACGGTGCAAACATCTGGTGAATCAATGCATAATAACAATTCAATTTGCTCAATTTGAGTTCCAATTCCAACCATGTCCTTCTTTAAATCACGTAATGATTTGCGATTCAATTTGGTCATAATATCATCGACAACGTCCTCAACAAAATTGGCCTCCGTCCTAAGAAATATGATACAATATTTAGTAAGCATGCCTTAACAAATATTTGATGAACCAGATGGTCACAAGCAGAAATTGGTACGAGTTAGAGAGTAAGTTACCCTCTTTTGCTAGAAGTATCAAACCCTGACATATCGGCTGCTTCCTTCAAAGCATCCCTCCACTTGTTCACCTTGTCCAAATTGTCCTTGAAACGTTTTTCAAGGTGAGCAAACGCATCTGCATAACTCCCCTGTTGTTTTCGTACATGTGATGGATCTATTCCGTAAAAGATGGGTATAACAGTCTGTCCATATCTTTCCTTGCATCCTAGTATATGCACAAGCTCATCCAAACACCATGTGGACGAAGCATAGTCTTTCGAGAAAATGACCACCGAAAGCTTTGATTTCTCTATTGCATCGAGAAGGGCAGGTCCAATTTTATCTCCTCTCTCAAGCTTGTAATCTATGTAGGTGTCAATTTTCTTGCGAACTAGAGCAGCGTAGAGATGGCTGGTAAAAGTATCACGGGTATCCACACCTCTGAAACTAAGAAAGACATCATACTTTTCTCGAGGAGGGGTAAAAGAAACAGAATCAGAAGAAGAATCGGCCATATTCGCAGCCTGCAAACCCAAAAGTAGTCAAAGCATCATACTTTCATAACCCAAAGGCCTAGTTTGGTATAAAGGATTGGATTCGAATGGATAAGCCAAGGTATTTTGAATGAAGAAATGAAAAAATTACGGTCAACTTGGTTGGGGGTAGGAGATGGATTACTCGAGGAAAAAAAACTTGTGCATTCCGATCCTCCCCAAAACGAAATATAATTTTGGTCTCCCTTCAATGTACGTTGAATTTAAAGGTTATCCTTTCCAATCCAATCCGAGACACCAAACGAGGCATCTTTAGAGGGTTATCAATTCCAATCCAATCCTAGACACCAAACGAGGCATAACTGTAAACCACGCAATCAGGCACCAATCAAAGTAACCAATGTGATTTTGGCAAAATAGCATTTTGAATTTTTCATGTCAGCAATATTAGAGATACCAGAATAGCAATTTTAGGATAGGAAGTTGCAGAGAGATGAATTGCAAAGTGAGAAACAATATAATTAAAAAGGGATTAAGGTGCTAATAAGAGAGAATCAGGCTCTAATTAAGCAATTGAGATGGAAGTTGCGGCCAGAGAGACTACCTTGGAGCAGTTGCATGCAGAGATTTGATCAGGCTTTAGCAGTTGACATTGTAGTTGACTTCAAGGTTACCAAAACTTCAAAAGCCAACAGCGAAAGGGTATGGGAGGGAGATCCAACGTATGAGCAGCAGAAAAACAGTCCCAGACTCCAAACTCCAAAGAGTCCTTTTGTCTCCAACACTGGGCTTAAGCCCATTACTTGAATTTAAGTTGGTCGGGTCGGGTTGGGGCCTAAACTGATGTGAGTGAATCAAGTGGCCGAAATCCCAATCCAATGTCTTTTTCTTTTATGACAGCGGAGCATAAACCCTAAAAGAAGAAAGAATTACGTAAGAATATCACGAAATCATAGTCATATTTGCAATTAACACTCGATGATAAGAAGTGGGAGCTTGTTAAAAAAAAAAGGAGAAATTAGGATCCGGTCCCTAATTATTGATCCTCTTTGATTAAAACCTTGTTACTTTTAACTTTTTGATTAAAGTCCTTGAAGTTTGTACACATCAGCATTGTATTACCAGCATATTTCCATGTCACCTTTTTTTATTTTTACTAAAATAGTTAATTATTGCAATTTTTTATCCCAGGCTACGTTTTTATTCCACAACTATTATGCCTGCAATGCCTCCTATGCTTACCAAACTGAATTGACGCATCCATTCCACCAAATAATCCTGCACAATTGATTTCTTCCGTTTTTGATTTTCGTAACCGCAAATTCCATAATAATCTCACTCAGTTTTTCAAATCTAGCATTATTATATTTGATATGATTCTTCAAATTCAAGTTTCGCCAAGATTTGAGTCGAAGTCATACTTTATCCACGAGCGTTCGAACGAGCGCATTTTTTTGCAGAGTAACTTGAAGAATCAACGACACTTCCGAGCTAAAATTCGAGGTATTTTTTCATTTTTTGAATTTGCACCATAGTTCGTTTATACCGATTTGGCCGTAATGGTAGATTCTTGGGTTTATAATTTTTGTACCCATATTTACAGGTAGTGCAGTATTGTTTTCACAATTGGTTTTGCAATTGGTTTTGCATATGTAAAATGATTCTTTAACAAATTTTTTGGCATGTATTGGGGAACTTAATTGATTTCAGCATGTATCTTGTAGTTTTTGCAGTGTTTTTATGGTGCATACCAAGTGTTTGTCGAAATGTTTGAAAGAGAATTTCGAATATGAAATTTTTGTATGCATAGAAATTGTTCATAAAAATTATTGAATAAGTCTTTTTCTCTATTATGGTGTGCATGGGTACAATTCAATCGCATTGTGTACATTTTTTACCAATGGTTCACGTGTAGCTGTGTTGGAAATTAATAGAGAGTTGTAAAAGTATAGACAGGGGTACAACATTAAACTGAGCAGATAAATCAAGGGAGGACTAGCTAAGGCAGAGAGTTTTTGCCATCTATTTTTCTGTTTGACATATACGGTATTTGGAGTGGGGGTACGAACAGCAAATAGTAACTGGACATAGTTTAATTCATCTTTCTTGTTTTTCCTTATGAAAATTTATATGCACTTTTTTCATGTCAAGCTATAATGCTTTGGGTTGTTGTTGTCTCTACTTTCTTTTATTTTTCAGATGGAAGGTGTTATATTGGGGAGATGCACTCATCAGGGTACCACTATATCTATCCCAATTTTTTGCCACACTACATTCTCTGAAGTGTACAATGAGGTTTGCTCAAGGCTTAGTAATTTGACTCATGGTTTATTCGATCTTACATATGCTTTACCTGGATATTCTACTTGCCTATTGCAATCTGATATGGATGTGCGGATGTTGCACATGTCGGTTGTCAACGAGAAATATTATTGTGTTGATATAGTTATCAACCAAAAGTCGTGTCGTGATAATGATCGTGTCAGCCGAAATACCAATGCTTCACAAACATTTATAATTGAAGGAAATATTCATAGTGATGGGAATGACTATTTAGGGAAATATGCAACACCGGGAGGCAAAGTGTATCTGTCAAACTCTTGGAAGACCTACATCAATCATGTAAATCAAGGATTTGAAGGCGGAGTGGAAGAATTCAGAGACAAACTTTGTAAGTATGCGGTTGAAATGGGATTCACATTTGTGTATGTGAAGAATGATAGGGAAAGAGTTACAGCTGTATGTAATAAGAAATATTCTGAAGGTTGTCAATGGCGTGTGCATGCATCAGTATGTCGTGTTAACAATTTCTTTTATATTAAGAGGTTAAATAACGAACACACTTGCACAGGCCGCATTCGTGAGAAGAAAAGTGGTATGATGACTTCCAAAGTTGTAGCTTCTGCTATAGTTGAAAAGATACGGACCAGACCCCGTATTAAACCAATTGATATTGTAATGGATTTCAAGAGAGACTACGGTTTAGATATTTCCTATTACAATGCATGGTATGGGAAAGAGATTGCAAAAACTAAAGTTCATGGTGATGACTCGTTGTCGTATCATCAAATGGTTTGGTACGTAGAAGCTGTCAAAAAAACAAATCCTGGTTCTCATTGCGAATTGGAGTTTGACCAAGAAACCTTTCATTTCCAGCGGATATTTATTGCATTTGGTGGTTCTATTGAGGGTTTTAAGTTTTGTAGGCCTATGTTGTTTTTGGATGGTACTTTCTTGAAAGACAAATACAAAGGAACATTGCTTGTTGCAATTGGTAAAAATGGCAATCAAGGTATGCACATGTCCCTTAAATTTTTCTATTTTAATAATTTGCATAATAATAACTCTTCCTATTCAACATGATTATATAGCATCTTTCAAAATTTTGAAGATTCGGTACCTTTAACCTGATTATGTATATTGCTCACGATGCACTTTTATTCATAAGTTTGGTATATAATGCTGACCACTTATTTTGTCATGTTTTAATCTGTTGGTTGAAGGATTCTTTCCTCTTGCATTCGCATTAGTTGGTGGTGAGGACCAAAATAATTGGATATGGTTTCTTAAAAATTTGGCTAAGATTTTGGAGCCACAACAACGTACCATAACTTTCATTTCTGATCGACACAAGGGGTTGATTCCGGCTGTGACGCATACTTTTCCAGACTCCCCTCATGCATATTGTTTGTATCACATCAAGCTAAACATATTAGAAAAGTACCCCTCTGGTCTTGGATCTGTTTTTCGAAATAAAATTGTTCAAAAGTTCAATGAGTGTGCATATGCTGCCACCCCCGAGATGTATGAATTGAAAAGAGCAGCTTTAGTCAAGGAAGGAGGTAATATAATGCGCAAATTTTTGAAGGATCTCCCACAAGAGAATTTTTGCGATGCATTTTTCAAGGGTAAAAGGTAACAATTTTTGTTAATTTACTATCTTCCAAAACACAATACAAGTTTCGTTTTTATTCATGCATGTGTCATTTTATAATATTACATGAAGATGACTTGTTTCTACACTGTTTGATTTCTCAGATTTCTCATATAACCAAATTATGCAGATTGCTCATTTTATTATTTCGATGTGTTAGGTACGGGGAAATGTGGTCGAACGTTGCAGAATCATTTAATGCATGGATTAGTAACGAGCGTCTCTTACCAATTTACCAATTGGTGGATGGTATAAGAATTAAGTTGATGGAAATGAATGCTGAAAGATATCTTGAGGCAAACAAATGGACCACTTTCTTATGCCCGGAGATGGAGGCTGAGATGGTTGCATCTATTGAGGTTGGTAGGCATTGGCTTGTTAGACGGTCTAGTGAGTTTGTGTTTGAAGTGCAAACCGATGATACTTCATTGATGGTTGACTTGGAAAGACAAATCTGCTCATGTCATCAATGGCAGATAAAAGGCTTCCCTTGCTCACACGCACTTGCTGCAATCTTGAAAAATGGTGCAAATCCTTTTGATTACACTGAGGCTTATTTCAGCGCTGATTACTACAAGTCTTCCTATTCATTTCCAATTCAACCTATTCCTCAAATAGATAAGCCTCCCATGAGTGAAGATACAGATTTTATAGTGAAACCTCCTAAAACTAGGAAGCAACCTGGTAGACCAAGGATCAAGAGGATCAAATCTGCTGGGGAGGAAGCTAGACCATTGGAGTGTGGTCGGTGTCATCAAGTGGGCCATCACAATAAGAGGACTTGTTCAGTTCTTATATAAGCTTATGCTACTACTCCCATTGTTATTCAGTCTTTGCATAATTTTTTTACATTTAAATTGTACACAATTTGAGCTTGGTGTGACAATTTTGCTTCTATTCTATGTATTCAAATTTGGTTCATTTGTATTTAGAATTTTAGAAGTTGAGCCATACAGCATGGGTTACAATACTGTTTGCATTGGCTACATTTTTTTTGTTCAGAGAACTTTTCCTTCTATTGTTGAAGGTGCAATTTCTTTAGAATTTCAAAATGAACAACGCTCGAATGATACCTCATGTTACCCCTCACACTTTTCGTGAGAGTGGGTGCAAATTAACACCATTAACTAGTTTTAAAAAGTTTTCAAGATGTCGAGAATGTACCTAAAATTTTAAAACAAATATTAACAAGTAAGAATTTAGAAGTGAAATGAATTCAATATGGTGAGAATACATTAACACTAACAAATGATAATGTACTAGTGACATGAATTCAAATCCCATCGTTAAGAATGTACCCTCCCTTTGTACCTCTAACAATTCATTTTCATTCTGCATATTAAGAAAGAAAAAAAGCATTATGCTCGTGAACATGAACTAATTAAATGTAATCACATTAGTTGGATTCAAACGTCAATTGGTTCTCATAAAAAAAAAACAATCTTATAAACCCATAAAGTACACAAAGTACATCATATCTATTACCATAAAACAAAAACATCAAATTAGATTCATAGCCATGACTGCATGTTGGTGCCCTATGCATGCGACCAATTAGATTCATCGTTCAGAAATGCACCCACACATGTTGCTCTATACTCGAGCAGTTCATCGTCATCAAAATTTTCCATTATTGGCCACATCTTTGACATGTGCTCCATATAATATAACACTGAGACGCCACAATCAAGCCTGCATATTCATAATCCTCATAAAGTGTTAAGCTACTATATGAATATTTTCCAGGTACAAAATAATAGGAATGACAAAATAAGTTAATGTACTCACGAGCCTGGAGGAGGTTGTGGGCACTTTTGGACAAGCACAATTGGCCAATCAATGTGGATATCCTTTATACTCTGAAATGTAAGTTTTTCATCATTTGACATTGGGTACATTTTCCCCTCCATCGCACCACTATCAGGGTGGAATAAACCCTTGACAATAACTCCCTCGCGAAGTGCAAATATCGAACGCTTTTGATGATGTTTTAGGAATTCCATCACCATCTTACTCTGCAATGATAATGATGAATCAACCTCTACGTAAAGATAAAAAAAAAAAAAGTAATGACATACATGTTCTTTGATACAGATAGGAGGGTGATGTAATGTGGAAATTTCAAGTTTAACCGATTGTATAGTATTCATTCATTGTAAAGAAAATAAACTTACTAATTGCACAGCATCGTTAAAGCATGGATTATGCAGATTTCCATTTTCCGGAAGGCGTGGATTGTAATGGTACCACTTCCCTTCTATGGTGTCAAGTAGAGCTAAAGTGTAGTGATCTTCAAAACCATGCCTTATGGGAAAGAATATCATGTCATACTTGCCAAACACTTTAAGCAATGGGTTATAAAGAAATGTTTCAAGAGCCTTTAGGTTGTTGGAGATCTTGAATTCCTGTTGGCATGTAACGATTAAATAAAATGGACCCATTTCACCCAATACAAGGTTAATATTCAAAATTTGAAAACTAAATATCCATACTAAGTTACTAACCCATATATTTGCAGACATGAAATACGATTCCCTCTGTATCTTCTTATTATCATTATCTAGGTGCATGTGTAAGATATCTCCATATGCATCAATTGTCTACAAAATCAAAACATTATGCAAAACCACATTACAAAACCAAATATATCAGTATTCCAAACAAGTTTTCAATAATCTTACATTTGTAGTGATTGCTTGGTTAGTGAGTAAGAACATAATATCCTCATGTAGGATGATAGCTCGATCACTTTTCCATAATGCAGTCCTATTTGAAAATACAAAAAAATATGACATTGATAAAAAAACAATCAACAACGTACCAAAAAAAAAGAAAGAAAAACATATTACAATAGCAACTAACAAGTAGGTTTCTTACCCTGAATATTCAACATTCACAAATTTCTCAAGCCTGTTGAAGTCATCATCATCAAAGTATGGACCCACAGGGGTTTTTTTAAGTTCAAGTCTTTTTTTAACAGCATCGGTGTCCCAGTTCATGCCTTCATCACTGGTAACATGCTTTTGTTGTACTAATGGATGCTTATCAACAGTCTTAGAAGCACTATCGCAAAATGTGTTTTTCTCTTTCGGATTTTCAAGCATTGTTCGCATAGGCTCTACAAAGTCAGGGTCTATAATAGAAATTGGTTTCAGCACATTCTTCTTTTTACAAATCTTTTTTGAGTCGGTTCTTACCTTTTTCCGACTGACATCATGGGCTGCAACACTGCACTCAGCTGAGTTTCTTGCCCGTTTCATACTGGTATTTCGCTTTTTAATAGTGCTTCCATAGCTAAAATCAGGTAGCCTGCGCCTTATCCTGCCTTCTCTTGTTTTGATTCGTCTGTACATGGAGCACTGTGTTAGTACTGACGAATACGAACCCATGTTCTGTATTGCAGCCAACTGTTTTTTCAATTTCTTGTTCTCTTCAATTAGTGTATCTATTTGCATCCGTGCAGCCTCCAAATCATTATCAGCAATAATCAATGACTCTGTCAGTACATCCACTTTTATTTCAGCCGTTTCACATCTAATATCCATTTCACTCATTCCAGACTGCGGGTTGTTCTTTTCCGCTGCACTGTCGTTCATCCCATTCGTTGCAATCACACGTGGGCTGACATTCGGGGAAAACTTGGATGATGAGGAATAAAAATCTTGTGTTGCAATGAGTTGCCAATTTGGAGCATCAAATTCGACAAGTTTAGTTGCTGGACTATGTGAATTGGCGTGGTTTTCATCCTCCTTATTGACAGCGTTTCCAAGTATATCATCCAGTTTTATGGGTACATTCTCATCATCCGCGTGTGCATAAAGCACCATCTCGTGGTTCACATGTGACTGCAAGTTAAATCAATATACAATGTCACTTGAATCGAATGATTTTTATATAATGTTAATAAAAAAATTGTTATACCTTCATAGTGGCAAGATCTGTTACTATAAGCTTTTCATGGAAATCTGTCATGCTCCACCTTAAAAAGCTCGGGCATATGTTTTCCCTTCCAGCAATTTTGTTACACATTCCCATTTTATCGCAAGCCCAAAACTGTTTCACAACCATATTAATAATAAGACATTAAATTAACTACATATATACACACAAAAATTGTTTCAATATAAAGTGACTTACCAATAATGCAACCACACAACCGTTAACTGAACTCGGGTTGACTGCCCTGTGAAGTGAACTGAACAGACAGTCAAAAGTAGCCGCTGCCCAATTGTAGCCACCTATTTGATCAAGGTCTTCGCATAATTTGACAATGGTCCATGAAACATGTGTTGCTGTGTTGGAGAATAATAGAGAGTTGCAGAAGTATAGGCATACCAATCTTACAAAATCTTTTTTGCTTTCTTCTGTATCCCCCGCAACCGATTTAATAAGTGCACCCTCAACGTCACTTTTTGTAACCCGATCCTTTTGAACGCAAAAATACCTTGTCATAAATGTAGTGTGTTTCACTCTCACACCTTTCATACCAGTATGCTTAAGTGTGTAACCCATATTAGGCAAGCCAAGAATTGCAGCTATATCACTTGGTGTGAACCTCGCATAAATGTCCCCAAACACAAAGAACTTCATATCTTTATTGTACTGATTTACTATTCTAGCAACATCTGTGTCAATTTTTTTGCAAAACTCACTTGTAACATGACCATCACGATATGCCTTAAACAAGTTCCAAAATGGTGTTTTTTTCATCTCTTCATCATGCCCGGTACGAATAAATCCTTCTATTCTCGGGTACAACCTAGCAAAATGAAGAAGGCTCGAACGATACCTCATAGTTTCATGTACCTATCCAAAAAAGAAACATTTAAATTCTTGCACAAATCTTCATCACAATCTTGTGTCCAACTCCCATATGTATTTATGTAACATATTAGTAAGGGAACAATATAGTAACATTAACAAGTTTAAGAAAATTTTCAAGATGTTGAGAATGTGCCTACAATGTACATTCAGAACCCCATCGTTTATCAAAATTTTCAAGCTGGTGAAAGGGCCATACACACTTATGAATGTTAGTAAAATGATCTTGGGACAATCTGTGTTCAGAATGTACCCCATCACGATATAGTTTGTACCCCTCCAACTCAATGTTAATAAAATGAATTCATACTCCCAACACTGATAATGTATCCGCGCCTATACAGCCCCAACTCAACAAATTTTCCATTATTCCCCATGCCAATCTATAAGTATTGAATTGCACCCCATGCCAACTCGTTTGTACCCTTTCCAACTGCTTGTTAATATCCCATAGTTTGTACCCCGGCCAAAATCTATACCAACTAGTTTGTACCCCTGATTGTCAAATATGTCATAATTTGTACCCCTGCCAACTGCTTATTAATATCTCATAGTTTGTACCCCCTGCCAAAATCTATACCAGCTAGTTTGCACCCCTGTTAGTCAATATCTCATAGTTTTTAACCCTGCCAACTGCTTGTTAATATCGAATAGTTTGTACCCCCTGTCAAAATCTATACCAACTAGTTTGTACCCCAACTCAACAACCATTTGCATTACACCCCATGCCAACTGGTTTGTACCCCTGCATACCAATTCTGGAAGTCTACAAGTGTTGGATTGTACCCCATGCCACCTAGTTCGTACCCATTCTTGTCAATGTTAGTAAAATGAATTCACACTCCCAACATTTAAGAATGTATCCGCACCTAGTTATTACCCCAACTCAACAAAATATTGCATTATACCCCATGCCAACTCGTTTGTACCCCCTCCTAGAGTTCTATTACTGTTCAAATATTCACTCAAAACCACATATATCATGGACCACTGTAAAACACGAATACAGTGCAATTGAATTGAATTGTACTCAAAATTATCATTCAAACATTTCGACAAACACTTGGTATACACTAGAAAAAAACACTACAAAACAATAAGGGACATGCTGAAATCATTGAAGTTCCAATACCTGGAATTTTAGCTCGTAAGGGTCGTTGATTCAACAAGTTCCCCTGCCAAAAACTGCGCTCCTTCGAACACTCGCGGATAAAATATGATTTTGACCCAAATTTTGCCGGAAAGTGAAATTGAGGATTCATATCAAAAATAATAATGATGAATTTGAAAATTTGAGTGAGATTATTGTGGATTTTGCGGTTACGAAAATAAAAAACTGAACGAAATCAAATGAGCGTGATTATTTGGTGGAACGGATGCGTTAATTCAGTTCGGTAAGCATAAGAGGCGTTGAAGGCATAAGAGTCCTGAAATAAAAACACAGCGTGGGATAAAAAATGCAATAATTAACTATTTTAGTAAAATAAAAAGAAAGCTGACATGGAAATATATTGACAGTAAATGCTGATGTGGACAAATTATAGGGACTTTAATCAAAAAGTAAAAAACAATAAGGTTTTAGTCAAAAATCTATACCAACTAAGGACCGGATATAAAGTGTCCCAAAAAAAAAACTCAACCCAAACTGCATGACAAACTTAAACAAGCCAAATTATTAGTAACAAAATTCTTTTCACGATAGATATAACGAATTGAACCGTAAGAGCACAATCTGATTCTACCATAATTTTCTTAATTCCGTTATTCCATGCAAGATGCACCCCAATAAAAACACCCCAAACTTCAGCACATAGATTTTCACCTCGACCAAGAGTAGCACAAAAACTAAAAACCCATGCTCCCGATGAGTTTTTGAGGACACTGCCAACACTGATGAAATTGGCCTCCCCTTACGACACCCATCAACATTAAAGTTTACCCAACCCTCAGTAGGAGGTTCTTAACGAAGGAAAGCATGTGTTCGAAGGAGTTTTAGGAAATAAACCATCTTCGCCCCAAGCCAATCTTTCAAATAAGTAATGATCATAGATTCGGAATCATCAGCGAGAGCCAAATCCTATTCAAAAGTACTTTTGTTTCGTCAGTGCGACAAAAACCAGCACGTGATGCAGAAAATAAGTCTCCATTCCAAATTATCCAACAATAATATCATGGAAGAGAGATTATTTTGGAACCAAATAGTAGTATACGCATCAGCGAAATCCTAATCCACTTTGGCATCAGTGAGAGCTCTATTGTTCTGTAAAATTTTAACTTTATATGATATTTGCCTCTGTAAGTTCTGTTGTCTACGATTAATATGGAAATTACAAACCTGATTTTTCACCAGTAATTAAAAAAAATTCAATAATTATTTGTTCTATCAACTAAAAGAAAACATAATTCAACTTTGTCTTTAGTTTTCTCTATTTCTTCCTCCATAACCTTGTATTTATTTTATTTTAGGGCAAAATGAATAGAGGAATATTAGAGATACCAGATTACCAACTTTAGCATAGGAAGTTGCAGAGAGATGAACCGCAAAGTGTGAAACAATATAATTAAAAAGGGATTTAGGTGCTAATAAGAGAGAATCAGGCTGTAATTAAGCAATTGAGATAGAATCAGGCTTTAGCAGTTGACATTATAGTTGACTGTCAAGTTACCAAGACTTCAAAAGCCAACTGTGGAAGGGGATGGGGGTCCTTTCATCACTTTTAGGCCATCTTCAACCAAGCTGGCCAAATGGCTATAAGCTAAAATATAGCCTGTTTTGACACAAAATCAATCTCCAATAAAGGGTTAGGTCAAAAAAATTTGGGACCCACCGAGCCAAAATATAGCCAAATGGCCAAAGGGTTGGGCAAATATAGACAGTCAGCCCTAAAAGTTGAACTCAGTTGTACTACTAGTTGACATCATGTAGCCTTTTATTTTTTTAATACGAATTTGAAAAAAAAAAATTTAATTCAAAATTTTCCCTATAAGTACCTAAGTCATTTCTACACTATTTCTCATATCATTTTCAACCTTCCATACTATCTTACATCATTTTAATGTTCAAGTTGTTAACATGCAAGTAAATTTAAAATATTTAATAACATGAAACTTAAAACAACATTTAGGGACAAGTAGCCCTTAAAATATGTCCGGAAACCTTATTTTAATATGATTTAATTCAATTAACTGATAAAATTAAAGAACAAACTTAAAATAATAAATTATTGAGGTGACTAAAAATAGTGTCTTTCGGTTAGAGATTGTATATAAATATGATCTGACACTGTTTATTAAAAAATAATTTCTTACAAGACTATAATTTAGATGAAGGCTAAATATAACTCATTCGGTTGGAGATGACCTTAAGTTCCAACATATCAGCAGCAGAAGCTTCGAGTCATTTTCTGAAAGAAAAAAAAAAACAGTCCAAGACTCCATACTCCAGAGAGTCCTCTGTCTCCAACATTGAGCTTAAACCTATTACTTGAATTCAACTTGGTCGGGTCAGGTTGGGGCCTAGCTGATGCCAGCAAAATTAGTGGTGATAAAAGTGGCCAAAATCATCCACTTTGGCATCATTGAGAGCTCCATTGTTCTGTAAAATTTTAACTTTAAATGATATTTGCCTCTGTAAATTTTGTATATCTATGATTAATATGAAAATTACAAACCTAATTTTTCACCAATAAAATTTAAAAAATATTCAATAATTATTTGTTCTATAAACTAAAAGAAGACATAATTCAACTTTGTCTTTAGTTTTCTCCAATTTCTTGCTCCATACACCTTGTATCTATTTTTTTTATTTCAGGCAAAATTGGTAGAGAAAGACTTAAGAAAACTTGGAAATAGACTTTAAGAAAAGACATGAAGTAGTTAGAGCTAACGGAAAATTTAATGCAAAACCGAGTGTAATGATGTTTTAAGATTAATACAATGGGCTAGCAATAATTAGAAACATGATTTTCACCAAAAAATTTACAAACATAATTAGATTGAAGCCATTCCAACTTCTACCAGAAACCTGTCACACTCATCACTCCTTTTTTTTAATAAAAAAAGCAATGTCACTTCCACTTCAACATACCTAACATAAAAAAGAGATTATTGTGAATATATTGAAGAAGAAAAAAAAAAGAGTTTTAACAAAACACTTCCGGTACTGTTCATTTTTAATGAAAAACTACATTTTTACCTTTAACTGACACTATTCAATATACCTTTAAAATGGGTTTTTCGTTAAAAAAGAAGTTTTTTTGGACTTTTCGTTAGTTTTCCTAAAAAATAAAGATACAAAAAGTTAGAGGGAACATGAAACCATACCCTAACAAGAAGTAGAAGGCTATTACAAACAAAAAACAATTAAGACAATTCCTAAGAGAAACGAAAAATTGGAAATCCCGAAAGATTGTTAGCAAAAGCCGCAATTGCACATGGCGGACAAGAATTCCACCAATGAACCGCAACATAATCAACACCATAATTTGCCAAACAATCCGCCACTTGATTTCCTTCGCAATAAATGTGAGAAAGCAGAATATGGATGGGGAGAGAGAATATGCAACAATTTGCCCAATCAACCGATAAATGGCAAGGCACCCTAAGAAGATCCATTAGAAAGAAAATGCATTGCCAAAGAAGAATCTCAATCTAAAGAGAATGCAAACCCCAATCCAAAGCTAGCCATATAAACAACATAAATAATAGTTTTAAGTTCCACCCCCAAGGCAGTAGCAATTTCCAAAGATCTTGACACATTAGTTTGTTTTTGTTGTATCTCTACTTGAACAGAGAAATGTTAACCTCCGGGTGGCACATGGGTGGACTCATGTTTTAGACTGTCCTATGCATTTCACATTGTATTCTTCAATGTAGCTATGGTTATTAAGCTTTTATGTGATATCTTAAATGGTTATAATATATTGCTTCAGATTACTTTAGATGCGATATTGTTGTTCACTTCCTTACCCTCTTAAGATTGCTCATAATGTTCAGGAATCACATTCAAGGATACACATCAATTCGTATTTTTCGAAAGGGAAGTTATGTGAGGTAACTGCTACAAAATTTTACGAACTTTATCATTTTTGCATGTAAATAATACAAAAATCTATAATCTTTTGTGTGCAAGTACTATCAATCAAAGGCCACATGAACTACTTGTGTAGAATGTGCCGATCAAATCTTTGTATGTAACAATCTACCTAACATTTTCTATGTAAATAATATTAATCTTTTGCAACAAAATCTTTTTTTTTTTTCAAACATAATATTTCATACCATTTTTAAATTTTTTGCGGCACAATTTCTAACGCATACTAAGGGCTGGTTTGGTATTGCTGTGCTTTGAAAAAAAACTGCTATGAGAATAAACGACTGTGCTGTGAGAATAAGCGGCTGTGAAATAAAGCCAGCAGAGTGTTTGGTAAACTTTTTTGTAAAAGTGCTTTTGGAAAAAAAAGTGTTTGGTAAACTTTTATGTAAAAAAGCTGTGACTGTGTGAAATGACCAAAAAGGGTATAATACTATATGTGCTATTAATTTAATTTTCTTAACAAATAAAAGTGAATTATTAAATATACTTTATTTTTTAAAAAGAAATATTTATAAACTTTATCTTAAATATTAATTAGTATGACAAAGTATTTCAATTGAAATATTTTAGACTGAATAGCTAGGATTCATTAGTACAATATTGTTAATGTACTTGAAAGTAGTCTAATTAGATGCATTCATCAAACTTGCTGCTATTCTATTTCTTAATGCTTCTATCTCATGGGATCATTCAACTTGATAATTTTGGTATTCTTCATCATCATCATCACTATTATCGCTCTCTTCACAATAGTCCCTGGGGTCATCAAAATGACGATCACTTTCAGAATACCTCCGTATGTAGTTATGAAGAGCCATTGTAGCAATGACAATCTTCACTTGCTTATTGAACGGGTAATTAGGCATATCCCTTAAAATTGCCCATCTTTTCTTCCATACCCCAAAAGTTCGTTCAATGATGCTCCTTAGAGAAGAATGCATATGTTTCAATAGCTCTCGCTACAGCGCATATAATTACACCATCCTCCAAATCCTGAACATCATCATCAGAGGTATTCATATTGAATATACACCTGTAACCTAACACATAATTCAACATTCCACAAGTCATAATCCAACACTCACTAAGAAGTCATACTCCGACATTCAAGAACAAGTCATAATCCAACTGTGAACACGGAAAATTCCTGAAACGAAAGAGACAAGAACAACGCGGCACAAACAAATATTTGTATTTGATGATTTTGGGTTACAATCTCTCTCTATTTTGATCCTCTGATTCGATCTCCGTAAGGTGTGTATTTGTGGATGTGTGATTGATCCAAAGGGCCGTTGGGCTTGATCTAAGGATGAACGTTCTTCAAGGGCCGTGGACTTGATCTTGAAGGTGGATTTGAGCGGATCTTCAAAT